CTGAACTTCCCCAAGGTGAAGGGGGGGGCGGGGGGGGGGGCCCGGGAGGAGGGGTTGGAGGCGAGCAGGGAAGAGGAGGGCGGGCTGATGGGGGACATTGCCGGGGGGGGTCATTGGGCTCTACGGGGGGTAAGGTTTCCCGCGCGTTGTGCTGTGGGTTGCGTGCGGCCTGTGCGGCTACAAGTACGGAGCATATTCGTTCACATGCCGCGCTAGTCCCCCATCACAACCATACACACCCTCTCCCAACCCTTCCCGCTCCCCACCCACCCAACCCGCTTCCCCCTACTGTTTTTCCCCACCCCCCAGGTGACGAAGTCGATGGTTAAGATGATGGAGGATGTGCTGTCCATCGACATACCCAATTTGGTGAAGCAGTTCGACAACCCCTTCCCGTGAGGGCGGGAGAGCGGGAGAGCTATGCGGGTCACTGTAGAGATGAGGTGGTCTTCCAAATCCTCTTAGGGGTCCGGGGCGCGGGTGAAGGGGCGGAGGAGGAAGGGGAGGGTGCGGAGAGGTTGCCCCTGACGAGGCGGTGCGTTGAGAGGTAGGGGCTGCTGGGTGCGGAACGAGGAGATGGATTACTTGGTGTGCAGCTTGTGGAGGTTTGGAGGTAACGGGGGGAGCCCGGTGGCTGGAGGGGCGCTGGAGGATTTCGTGGGCTGGGGGAAGTGCTGTTGCGTCGCAGCTGTGGGCTGTTTGCGCGTATGGGTATGGATGTGGATGAGAGTGTACATGCAGACACAATGGTCAGGTGTAAGAGGGGCGGGGGGGGGGGCAAGGCCACGTATAGGAGGGGCTCCAAAAGGAGGTGGACTCTTGAGCTTTTCGGTTGAAGGCTTCAGACGGGCCCCCTCATCCCACATGATGATGACGACAGCCACACCAGGTCCCTAGCCTCCTCGAGGGGGAGGGAAGGGTTTGAGAGGCCAGAGCCGGGCGGGACTATGTCAATGAACTGCTGCTAAAGCTACTGTTACAGCTGCGGATACAGCTCCCCACCCAGCAGGGTATTTAGGGGGAGGTGAGCACGGACATGATGAAGCGGACGGATATCGTGGGCCGGCGGGCTGACTGGATTGCGAGCGGGTTTTGTGTGTATCGCTGCCAACCGATTCTTTGCCGCCATCATCACCTGGTGCTGGTGCTGGTGGTGGCGCAAGTACATGAAAATGACGGACTGTGTTGAATCATGTGACAATATGAGATGGGAACTATTCATAGGGGGTTTTCATTCGAATACAGCCTTTCAAAGCGTGTATATATGTCTGTATGTTCGTAGGAGAAACAATGGCACAGCGCCTTTTATGTCGGATATCTGGTGACGTACCACCACCATGATGACCAGCATGACCCCGCCTCGCCGCCCTCTCCCCGCCAACGTTTACCCTTCCTGCGCCATACCATCGCTGCTACAGCAAGAATTTATGGAAAGGACACAGGTCATTCTACGTCGCATCTGCAGGCGAAACTATAATACTCAACTGCAGCAGCAGCAGCTTCTGCAGGTATAACAAATTCGCAGGTAGCAATAAGCAGCAATAGGAGATAACGTGTTCAGTTCGACCTTGTACTTCTTCACCGTTGGAGCTGCAGAGAGAAACTGGGGACAGAAACTTGAGTAGCCCTGTACTCTATATTTCCCATCCTGTTCTTCTTCCCGCAGCTCCTGATGGTTGCCTTTCAGCCGTAAAACAGGAAAACGTGCGAGCTGGTTTTGCAGCGGCGGCGAAGTCTGGGACGTCCGCATAACATGTTTTCCGTCTCCCCTCCGTTCTCTGTCTTCCCCCCCACAGCCCAGACTGCTTGCTGCTGCTTTGGATCGCAGAAACTACCTTTCACACATCCTTGCAGAAACCCTTCGCCTGGGATGTTGATGTGTGTGTGTATGCGGAAGGGGAAAACATTTCGCAGACACACACACACACACACACACACACACACACACAGACACACATCAACATCCCAAGCGGGGGAGACACGGGCCCAGACGGTCCGAAACAGAGTACCCACGCGTCCCCTCTCGCGTATCCATGCCTGTGTGCCTGTGCCTGTACGTACGTACGTATGTACGTCTTCCCCCATGCGATACGCCCCTAGCATCCACCCTGTTCGACTCCTGAAACTTGAAGACCTCTTCTCCGCTATGGAATTAAACCTTCCATCCATAGCTTGTGTAGCCGCTGGGGTTGTGTAGCCGCTTCATAGCCCCAGCGAGAAAAACAAGTCTCGCCTCTTGGGCGGACTTAAGCACATCTGCACTGAAACACATCTTCACACCGGGCGCTCAACGGTGAGTCCCCCACCACAACCGCCGGGGCCACAGACCTCGCCAGCTAATCAGCCCAGCCAAGCTCATCATTTCCCCGTTGCCCCATTCCTCTCGGTCTTTGTCCTCAGCTTCTCCTTTACCCCCTTTGCTCTTTGCCCAGTGCCAGTGAGTTCCCCCCCTTTGACCGTCGACACATGAAAACCCATCCCCCTCCCCCCCTCCACCTCTTCGGTGAGATCACCCCAGGAAGTTCAAATCTGCACACGGATAAAACCCAACAGGGGGTTCACCAGCAGGCTTCCCCTCCCTCATTCATCCCAGTACAGGTGTCTAGCAGCATCCGCTGCCGCCGGCAACCCCCCCCGCCGCCACCTTCTTCGCGCCGCCGCCACAGCAACCCCCTCCCATCCCCGCCGGCGCAGCTATTGCCGTTGCCGTCACACCGCTGCTGCTGCCACAGCTGCTACTGCTGCTGCTGCTCTCAAAGCTGCGCGATGTCTCGTTCCCGGACGCGTACGGCAGGAATGCAGGTCGAGATTTGAGTCCCAGTTGGTCAAACATGGCTTGGTCTTCGTCGCGGTCGTTGTTTGGGGTGGTTAGCAGTTTGTCACCGTCGAAGATGGAGTTGGCGCCTGCCAAAAACGCGAGCGCCTGATCGGATCGCGTCAGGTCGAGGCGGCCGGCAGAGAGGCGTACGACAGTACGAGGCATTACGACGCGAGCAGTGGCGACGCAGCGCACCAGGTCCAGCCCCTCGGGTGGTGCTTGGTCCTGCGGGGAGGTGGGGTGATAGGGGGAAGGGACAAGGTTGTATTCACGAACCTTAAAGGAGGGTTGAACGAAATTTCCACACTCCATGATGTGAAACACACAGGCACTCCCATGTGCCGTACACGCCCCCGACATTCCCGACTAGAGAAGACAGACTGAGATACACACATACACGTGTGACGCCCTTGGGCCTGCGACGAGCCCTTGGGCCTGCGACGAGCCCGTGAATGCCGTACATCCCCCGGGGACCCTTTCCCATACACTCTCTCCTTGCCTGTCGCCTCTTTTACCCGGCCCGCCCGCTCGCCAGCCAGCCTCCCCCCAAAGAGAAACGAAAACTAAATGGCCGGTACACGACCCCAAACACAAACTCACACACACATGCTCTAACCCTCGTGTGCACACACACAGATGCGCATGCATACATACATACATGCACATACATACGCTCACCTGCAGCGGAGTGCCCTTGATAGCCACGAGCCGGTTGATGGGTACTGACTCCGGGTGCGCGGGCAGCGTAGCGAGCTGGTGGAGGAGTCCCACACGGTCCTGGGGTCCCTCACCCAAACCAATGATGCCGCCGGCGCAAACTGAGATACCCGCCTCGCGCACGGCCTCCAGAGTGGCAAGACGGTCCTACGAAACCGGCAAAAAACGTCCAAGTAGTTTACGACAACGTACGACACGGGTACGACAATGTCACTACATGCGTTGGATACGAACGTAATCAGTGTAGTAAGAGGCAGTCTGATGAGGCTGTATGCACGTGCGTACGCGTGTATGTATGTATGTATGTATGTATGTATGTATGTATGTATGTATGTATGTATGTATGTATGTATGTATGTATGTATGTATGTATGTATGTATGTTCGTGTGTGGTGGTTATCATGTGTATTGCTTCGATTAGTCTTGTTGCATAGCCGTACACAGTCGTACACGTACCTCGTACTTGCGCGTCGAGGTGATTTTCTCGTAGTACTCGGGGGAAGTGTCCAGGTTGTGGTTGTAGGCAGTGAGCCCAGCCTGCCGCAGCTGGGCGGCTTGCTCCGGATTCAACATACCCAACGTGGTGCAGACCTTGGGGGGGAGAGGGAGGGGGAGAAAGGGAAGGGGGAAGGAGGTGAAGAGGGGAGGAAAGGAGAGGGGGTAACCCCACGCGTTGTCGCGACAGATGATGAATTTTTATACTACTTACAAAACAGCTGGGTTAATAACCAGACAGTTGCCACCACGGCAGGCCCTTTCCCTTCCACCCCCAACCCAACCTGAGTTCCTCCCACACACTCTGCGGGTAAGGAATTACGACGGCATGCCCCTTTCCCCTCGCGCCCCTCTCTCTTCCCGCCCCTCTCTCTTCCCTCCCTACTCACCTCCATGCCCAGTCCCCGGATTCTGCGGATCATCTCCAGCACCCGCTCCCACTGTCTTTGACCCACCTGCGAGAGGGGCTCGCGAAGGGGGGTTGAGGGGGGGTGAAAGGGGGCCTGCGGATGGAACTGGAACAGTGGCTGCCAGGGGGGGATCTGAAGGGTGGTTGGCAAGGGTGCGAGGCGAGGGATCCGGAAGCCGGAGTAGATTCCTCGAGGCCCACCTGCCCCCGCCTCATCACATCACATCGGGAGGCCTCCCATGTCCACACCCCACACCCACCCACACCACACACACACCCACACACCCCACACACCCACCTGCGAGGGCCCCCTCCAAGCCGCCCCCATACAGAACCGAGTGCTACCGGAGTCACGAGCTCGGAGTGCCGCCTGCGAACGTTGTGCGCGTGGGGATGGAGGCGGTGTGCGGTCAGGTTGGGGTTGGGTTGGGGTGGGGTGGGCAGACGATTCGAATCCACGTTAGTGGTGTGTTAGTGGCATTACGCGGTGGAGGGGTGGGTGGAGGGACTATACACTCGTACATTCACATGGCGGCAAAACCCTTCCCGTACATCACACGACGCGATACGTCCACCGGGGTGAACCGCGGTCAAACCCTCGCTCTTTACTCTTCCCTTCTCCCCTCCTCACCCTCTTTCCTTCTCCCCTCCCCCCCCCGCCACGTCGCCATCTTTTCCGTGACGTGTCATGCCCACGTTCGAGTGCCGCCGGCGTTATGGAGGTATCGCCCCTCTTCTAACCTCCTCATTTCCCCGTCCTCCCCCCTTTCCTCGATGGGCCCCTGATCCCCCATCCGAGCTCCATGGCCCCATCAGCCCTTGCCGCCGCTGAGGAGATCAACCCCCTCGCCTCCACAGCTCGCAACTCCCTTTTTAAACTTACGGACAAACAACGACCCGTCCGCCGCTCCAGTTGCACCCTCTAGGCACCCGCTCTCTCCCATTCACAAAGAAAATTGTGCATACACACACGCACACACAAAACCCCAAGTCCTTTCTCCCTGCCCGGGGCTCGCGTTCACCTGGTAGACGTCCTCCAGGTCCATCAGCTTCTCCGCCTTCATCCCCGTGTCTTTGCTCCAGTGGCTGCTCTGACTGCAATAGTTGCAGTTCTCGGGGCAGCCGCCCGTTTTGATGCTCAGCAGCGTGCATCGCTGGACCTGGAGTGGGAGTGGGGAGTGGAGGATTACAATCGGCAGATGAAGAAAGGTAGTGGAACGGAAGAAATATGTTCCAATTTTAAGGATAGGCAGGAAGGGGCGTAGGAAATGTCGGGGGAATGAGGCGTTTTCGTTCCCCAAATTAAAAGCAGACGCGGCAGATCCTCAGCTGCTGAAGACGCAGTTATCATACGTGATGTGCAATGCAAGATGTGCACAGGCTATAGGGAAGGGCACATCCACAGTTTGCAGGAACAACTTGTAGCCGTTTCCTCGTCGGAGGCAACCCCATGCCTGGACGCAAAAGCCAGCCAACAGGCTATTTACACTGCATAGCAGCTTGTTGCATCTTCACGAAATTGCAGTGAATGCCAACTGTTTCCCGTGCAAGTTCTGCGTACCATGGACGGGTCGTTGTACATGCGGTGCACGCTTGCAGCGCGATAGACGAGCTCCAACAGTGGAGTGTCATAAACCTCAGATACTTCCTCACGCCTGCAAATGAAATCCTGATGCTGGATTGGGTTGACGCACTTGCAAGCAGACGCCGTCCGGAATGGCTTACGTCCAGTCTGTGCGCACGACGCCCAGCTCCCGAATCCATCGTGGCACACTTGGTGCAGGCTCAGGCGTAACTGGAAGTGGCTCGGCTTGCAAAGCACTTCGGCTGCTGGTGAAGGTTCGCAACAAGACGCTCCTAATTGCGTTAACGCCCGCCGCCTGCTGACCACCGCACAGCACGGTACGCGCAAGCAACACGACTTGCGACATTTTGACAATCTTTCCTATCTAATTACCAACCTATGTTTTTTGGCACTGTACCTTAAGTTTCGCAATTGTCCTGCGCCTACTACGGCAGGACTAAGCCTCTCGTCCCGATCAACATCGCGACCGCAAACTAAATGCAAGAGAGTTAACGTAACGCATTACCTTTATTTAAATCGATTACGCTGCTTTTGGCTACTTTCACCGGGGGAGTGTAATCCGGGTTTGCTTGCCGTCATGTAGGACTAGCACACACGCTTCCTGAACATCTAATCTGCGACCTCTGCCAAATTCAGTTACATATTCAAACAATTGATTTCATTTCTTTATACATCTCTATAGTTTAACTTTTGCTGAGCGAACGCCGGTGTTGCCTTTAGGTTCGTTGTGGTTGGTCCTACAGTTCCGACCGGCCCCTCGCAAATACAAGCACAGCCGCATCGAAACTCCCTGAATCTAAACAGCCACTTTCTAACACAGCTGCCGGCGGGCAGGCTTAACGCTCGGATCGGCGGGCGCGGCGCCTAACGCTTGCAGGGCGGCCGTCGTCATGCTCGCTCAACTTCCGCGACAGGCGCTAAGCCGCCTTTCCGTCCTGCCGCTGTACGGTGGAGGCTTCTGGGTTGCGTTCACGCAACTGACGGTCTTCTACTACGCGGTCGGTGCGGTGCTTCACTTCGTGTTGCCCCGCATCGCGCCAGTCAAGCCTATCCAACACCAGGCTCGCAAGCGAGGCGAGGTGCTTCGAGACGCATTTTACAGCCTCGGTACGGTATCCACTCAAACCTCAAACCTAAACTTTGAAACCAATGAATGCTCCAGACGCTCTCGCCTGGGCAAGTGGCAAGCCTCCTAACCAAAAAGTTGAACACCCTCCCCCTCGCCATATCCCGCTGGTAACTTCCGAACCTGTAGGGCCCCTCGCCGTCAAAGCTGCCATCTGGACGATCGTAGAGCACATGCATTCCCGTGGTCTGGGACTTACGTACGGCGGAAAGGTGTACGGCCTGGCGGCAGTGTCGTACTGCAGTCTATGCGTTGCTCTGCTGGACTACCTGCACGACGCCTGGTTTTACTGGACCCACCGACTGCTCCACTGGGGCCCCCTCTATCGCCATGTGCACTACATACATCACAAGTACGACACTGTACGGTAGTGTACTGCAGTACGGGTTAGGGCTTCTAGCGTGATGAAAGGGCTCGCTGGGGCCTCCGGGGCCTCGTTGTGACGGGACAAGGCACGTGGAATAACCTATGACACGCACAGCCAGCTTTCTCCCCACCCCCTAACCACTGCTCGTCACCTCCCATTCCCCCGCCGTGTTTCCCAGTCCCCCTCATTCCCCCAGCTGTGTTGTCTCTCCCCGCCCATCCCCGCCTCCCATCCCAACTCTATCACCTCCTCTTCCCCCCCCCCCCACACACACACAGACGCTGCCCCCGCATCTCCCCCCGACACGATGTCACTTGTCGTGTGTACGCGTACCCCAACCTCAACCCTTCTGACATCCACCTTGCTCCCCCCGCCCCTTTCTCCCTACTCCCCTGTCCAGGTCGCGATCTCCCTCCGCCTTCACGGGCTATTCCTTTCACCTCGTGGAGGCCGCCATCGTGTTCGCCAACGAAATCCTGGTGTGCTTCATGTTCCCCCTGCACATGGGCCTGCACAGGTGCTACCACCTCTACACCACTCTCATACACGAAGGTGAGGTTTTGTGTGTGGGTTTTGTGCAGGGGGGCGCGGCTCCTGCCCAGCTCCCTTGGTAACGGGGGACGGGGGGAGTGGCCGGTTCCGGGTTTGGGGAAAAGTGTGGGTTTGTCATGGGGAGGTACGGGGAGTTGGGTTCCTAGGGGTTGTGTGTGCGGGTTTTTGGAGGAGGGAAAAATGAGGCTTTTGGGGGAACTTTGGAAGGCTTTGGTGGGGGTCGTTTGAGGAGATTTGAGGGAGCGCCTCGGACGGCGAGCGTGGTGATTGGTTGGCGTTAGTGGCGTGGTTTTGTCCTTGGTTCCACTGTCGTACATTCGTGCGTCTTGCAAAGGTTGGATTGGGGTTCTGATGGGAGCGTCTCGGTGCAGCAGCAGCAGCAGCAGCAGCCGGGACTCCACACGCGTTTGCGTGTGGGTATGGGATTCAGCTCAGGCTGATATGGGTGGACGGCCAAATATATCAACTCCCAACCAACTCCCTAACCGCCTCCAACTGTCCACTCGCCGCCCGGCACAGGTGGCCACGTTGGCTACGAACTGGCGCCCTTTATACCCACACTCGAGGGGCTAATGACGCTGGTGCTGCGGGGAGTTCGGCATCGCGCGCCGTGGCTTAATACCGTACAACACCACGACCTACACCACCGCTACCCGACCCGACATTTCTCATTGTACTTCACACATTGGGATAGGCTATGTGGCACGATACACCCGTCGTACGACAAGGATCTCTTTTCGTACTTTTCATCGTCTTCGTGAAATGAGTCATGCCGTACGTGCATGCTGTGATAAAAACAGCAATTGTGCTGATGTTAAGGGGTTTTAAAGGGGGGGATTGCCGGGAGAGAGCGGGGGGACCTGGGTTACAGCAGCTCCTTTCTAAAGGCACGATGTGCTAGGAGCTCCTCTAGCCGTACTGGACGAGATTTGAGCGTGTGAGCAGCCATGGCGAGCTCCTAAACGAGCGCGGGAGAGGGGTTGTCGTTCGATTCAGGTAGGGAGGAGAGGAAGGGTAGCGGGTGGCACAGACCGTGCCGGGTGTGTTTTGTGTGAGGGGGGGGAGATAACGGAGGCAACAGAGGGACAAACGCCGATTGCGGTTAGTAGATTTCATCGTAGCTTGGGTTTCGATGATAATTAGAGCTGTGATAACGAGCAAGGGGAAGAATTTCTCAACAAAGAAGTGGGAAGATTTCGGTGCTGGGCGGGCGGGCGGACGTGGGGGGGAAAGGGGAGTAATCATTAGGATTAGACGCCACGGTGTTTTGTGGGGCATTGCAGGTTGGTTGGGTTGTTGGTTGGGTTTTATCAACCTTGGACTGCGGATTGCATATATATATATGTATATATATATGGGGGTGGGGTGGGGGGGTGGGGGGTTGCATGGTTCCGAGGTTGAGCTGTTTCGGTTCGGATCGGTGGCATGGTGAAGGGGTGTACGGACATAAAACTACATTTAACTAAAAACTATGAATGGAGGGCGAATCTGATAGCGCGGGATGGTAGCTGAGGCTCGGGATAGCCCGTGCTCGTGTAGCAGGATGAGGCTCAGTGAGTGATATGCTCGTGTGTGTGTGTCTGTATGTGTGTATGTGTGCGCTATGTATTAGCAATGTGTGAGAGAGGAGGTGAGTCGACCAGGGTAGTCAGCTCATCCAAAGCCGAAAACGGCGGCTTGGCCCCGGTACACAGCCCCTCGGCCCCCGCAGTAGTAGTAGTAGTAGGAGGAGGAGGAGGAGGAGGTCCACGTGCTGTCCTAAACAGGCTCGCTAAGGCGGGGATACAAACCCGGAACGGTGGAGATTGTGGACTGCCTGCTGCTGCATGGCATCGCACGCATGCTAGGCTTCCGGCAATGTTTCAAACCTGACAGATGGCCATGACGAACGACGCGAGGCGTGCAGCGGCCATTTGCTGCTGCAGCGCGGCTTGCGGCCGTTGTACGTACGTTTGAATTGGAATTATGTGCAAAACGAAATGTGCATATATTGCCCCCAGCTACTTGCTAGTAGCTAGTAGCTGGCTACACCACGCACGGCGACCATGAGAAGCGGTGCGAGGCCGCGGGCGGTTAGGGAAGTCAAAGCCATATGGCCCTCGGGAAGCCCTGTCATATCGCGCAGATTTACGTGTGAAAAAATTAATTCCTTTTGTGGATCAGTTTAGTGGCTTTTAGATGCAATTCTCAGATCGGCACGGGGCATGCGGATTCGTATGTTACTCTCTGTGCTGGACGCTGCTGCTGCTCGCTGACATATGATGAAATTTTCTCCTAACAAGACTCTGTGCCCATGTACGCATCTTTATCTACAAGGGAGGAAGGGAGGGGGGAAGGGAGGGAGGGGGGAAGGGAGAGAGGGGGGAAGGGAGAGAGGGGGGAAGGGAGGGAGGGAGGGGGGAAGGGAGGGAGGGATAGGTGTATGGAATGAGTAAAGCCCTACGGCGGATACATTATTCGACCGGTCACTGGTCGGTAAGCCCGCAGCCCAGCCGGTCGGTAGGGTGAGGCCTTGGTAGGGTTTCGGAGGAGGAGTCACCGTCCGGCCTTTAGCCTACCGATGGGTTACCCGATACCCTACCAACCGGTTACCGGCCAGGGACAAAACTCGGTTGACTCTATAATGGACTGTAATGTCAAGTGCCTGGAACCATGTATAAGAAGCGCCTTGCCTTGTCTACACCGATTTTAGTGAAGCGACCGACCAGACTGCCTGCTGCGCTCCTGCAGCTGGCTGACTGACTGACGGACAGCTGTGAACCCCCGCGGGGGAGGGGGGGACTACAGCATCTCGAAGGGCGCTTCGCTTCTGGAAGGGCCCCTCGCCTGTCGCCCCAAAATGAGAGAATAATAAAATACGGTACCATTACAGATGCTGCCAGGGTATAGTGGAGAGATCGTCCTCCAGACGACTATGTTACATAGTAATAAAAGCAAGAGGACAACAAGAGGAGTTGTGTGTGTCGATGTTTATTATTATACGATAAACATGCGTATAGCTTTTTAATGGAGCACGGGGATCCAAAAGCCGCGAAAAAAGGAAAGAGAGGCAGTGCTTCGACATCAAACGCGTGTTGTGACGAGGCATATCGGTGGCAATACTGCCGGCAAAACTTTCGTTGCTATTCCTGTTGTGGCCGGGTGCGATGCTCCGTTCTTCTTGCCCTCTTGCCAAAAGCTCCCTTGTCCGGTTCAAACACGCACTTTAAAAAGAAAGTGCGTGTGACAACATTACCATTGCCATTGCCCAGGAGCAACATCTGTTCGTCCTCTCTCTCTTAGTTGTATAGTTGCTACAGCAGCACATCTGTACACCAGAGGGTCTGTTATCCCACCTCCTTAACTCTCCTTTTTCCATCCACAGAAAGTGCCTCCACTTCCTGCGTCGTACCACGTTTGTTCTTATCATCTACAACAAATGTGAACTAACGCTAACGGGTCGTTATTCCCACCAAGCAAACAGGGGGTTTTGATACAGCCTGTGGTTTTAACAGCGCTCCATCTTCAGGCAGGTAGACAGACAAACAGACAAACACACACAGACAGACAGACAGACAGACAGACAGGCGATCCTTGCTCTTTTGCCAATTCCATTTCTCCCCTTCCCTCCTCAAAACTCACAACCCTCCTACCACCACCACCACCACCACCACCACAACACCCACCATCCGCCACAGCACTGGTCACAACAGCACTGCGGGGAATGCCAAACTCCTGCAGCGCCCCAGAGCCCCTCCACCCCACCCCAGCCCACCTCACCACTCGGGGGGCCCGGGGACAACCGATCAACCGACAACCGTATCCCGTACATATCCAGATGACGCCTCGTTTTGAGACAGCTTTCCCCCCCCCCCGGCCCCATCCCCCCGCTTTGTGCTCTTCGGCACCATCAACGAACTAAAAAACATCAGATGCTGCGCAACAACAACCACAACCACAACCACAAGAACCACATGCTTATTAGCTGTTCCGTGCTCTGGCAATCTCGCGGCAGGCGGGGGGGGGGAGGGAAATGTCGAGAAACGGAGTCCTTCTCCCCCTCCTCCGCAGTACGAGTGTGCGTGTCGAGGGGGGGGGGGGCCCGCGGCCCCGGTCTTGAAACGTATGTCGGTATGTATTCCCAACATAACGCAACATATAAACCCAACCGCATCATCATCCATCATCCGTCCACGACACGACGCGGCTCACGAATATCCAAACTCGGGACGGACCACCGTCGTCGCCGAGGCGCATTGTAGAGAAGCCACCGCCGCCGCCGCCGCCGCCACCGCCGCCGCCATCGCCGCCGCCGCCATCGCCGCCGCCGCCATCGCCGCCGCTACTGCCGCCGCCGCCGCCGCCACCGCCGCCACAACCACCGCCGTCGCCCTTAATGTGTCCCTCCTCTCACTGTTGGTGCTGGTGCTGGTGCGACCGCCGCCGCCGCTTCCGCTGCTCCTCCTCCTCAGCGAGGTGCTTACGTCGCGCCTTCATCATTATTTTCTCAAAGTCCAGCGCGTCTCTGAACATCCAGGCGTCCGTCATGCGGCCGTCACTGTTGAAGATATCCACCTGTACGGATATCCACCAGACGGTACGGCATAGTACGGCAGGAGCGATCGTGAGAGACGCATGGGACGCAATGGAACGGCGCGGCCGCGATGATGCAGCACACGGTCCGTTCGGTCTCGAAAGCTTGATGTCCTTCCAGTCCCACCTTGGGGCAGTGACGCACACATTCCCAAGTTGTGTGCCTTAATCTGCGCAACCCCAACACGCCCCAACACCCCCACGCGCCTACCACATAATACCACCGTGCCTGCCTTTCCTCCCACGGACTCCCCCTCCCCATCCTCCCCCCGTTTCCAGCCCTCCACCTTCCCGCCCCCCACCCCCCCCGGCCACCCGCCCATTTCTAAGCCTCATTTGCAACCCAGCCAATACATACACGCACATACATACATACATACACACACGACATCCGTCGTCCCNCCTCCCACCTCGACGCACTCCTGCTCTATGGACAGCGGCTTCCCGGAGCAGTCCGTCATCGCGTGGCCGCCCTTGGGCGTCATCTTGCAGACCCAGTGGTTGAAGACCACGTTGTGCGTGTAGCTGGCCGCCAAGTCCACGGGCGTCACCTGAACGTCGTACTCGTTCTGCGCAGTACGCCGTACGCCGTACACAGAAAGTGCACATAACGTTTATGGGAAAGACGCCCAACTAAACCCTTCCTTTATCAATCTTTCCATTTCTCTTCGTATATCAAATCATCTAGTTTTCCCCAAACATGGAATATAAAAGAAAAGAGAAAAAGGAGACAACGAAGGAGATGCGAGTAAGCAGGAAAACCTCTGGGCACTCTACCGCGTGCGCGCCCTACCCCGCGACTGCCTTGGCGTTCGTAACAAAACATTTCCCGCAACAGGCTCCCAAGGCGCTGCAAAGGGCTAAAATCGCAGATTCGCCTCGATTTTTCTCCTTTTAAATCCCCAAGACGCCGCCTTTTTAAAGCCTCTCCTTTTAAACTACTACTATTTTTATTAAACACCCTCAGCAACAACAAACAGCCTCAAAAGAAGGACCCCTCGTGCGCCCTCGTGTGTGTGTGTGTCTGCGGGGTGTTCATCATATATGACACACATGTTCACATGGCCAGTTTGGCCAACACGCCGTACCTTGGCGCTCTCGATGATGTCGTACACCGCCTCAATTGGTGCCATGCAGCCGCCGCCGCCCATCATCAGCGCCATTGTGTATCCAGTTGCCGTACTGCCTCCCCTTCCAATGTTGCTACTGCTGATGCTAACGCCCCCGAAGACGCTGGGCCCGGTGTCCTGGGGCCCGCCGGCGGCGGCGGCGTACCCCGCCGCAGCGGCGGCCGCCTGCTGACCGGCAGCTCGGTCGCCGACGCTGCAGACGAGCGGCAGCAGGCCGTATGCGTCCCAAAGACGGAACTCAGGCGCCAGCAAAGGCTCCAGGATGACCCGTGGGTCAGTGCCGGAGGAACGGGCAGCGCACCAGGCGCGAGCTGCGTTGCGAAGCTTCTCGGGGTCAAGCCCCTGCGCGCGGACGCCGGAAAAGGGGGGTGGATGGGGGACGAGGAAGTGGAGGTGGACGAGGTGGTGGTGGGACATGTGCAGGTTGAAGTCATGGGAGGGTCCCGTACGACAATAATGCGGGGGAGGAAAGGGTCCGGGACGCGGGGGGCGAACACACACACACACATGCACACACACACACGCATACACACCCTTCCCTCACCTTCCCTCACCTTTCCCCGCCCTTCCCTCCCCCCCCCGGCCTTCCANAAACCACCCACCCACCTTAGTATACCTCGCCACCTGCGACTGCGTCACAATGCGCTCCACAGGCAAGTCGCTTCCCACCACCTCCCCGCCAGCTCGAGTGGCATGATCGCGGACTCGCTGCGAGTGATGCCCATGATGCCCATCACCATGCCCCTGCTCTCTAGCACCCCCCTGCTTCCGCTCCTTCCGCACCATCTCCTCCTCCTCCTGCTGCGCCTCCTCTTCCTTCTCCTCGCGTTCTATCATGGGCGCCAGCAGCAGCGGCGTGAGGTCGTCCCCGGCGCTGTCCCACTGGCCCCGCTCCAACAGCGCCGTCACCCGCCGACACGTGTCATCCAGGAGGAGGTCCAGTTTGAGGACCTGGTAGCAGGAGCTGTCGAGGGGTGGGTGGGTGGGTGGGTAGGTGCGTGGGTAGGTAGTGTGTGTGTGGTGTGTGTGTGGTGTGTGTGGGGCGGGAAAGACGAACCACGAACAACGAGTGAAGCTGCTGCCAAGGAAAGAGTGGGGGGGAGTGAGAGGGGGGAAGTGTGCGTGGGGGGAGTGTGTGGCGAGTGTGTAGGTAGTAGTGGTCGTCGTCGTCGTAGTAGTAGTAGTAGTAGTAGTAGTAGTCGTAGTAGTCGTCGTCGTCGTCGTCGTGGTAAGTAGTAGTATAGTAGCGACATTTGAAGGCCTTGAGGCCACCTTACGGGCTAATGTTGCCGTTGCCCTTTCAAGCCCCACACAGTGGGGGCACAAGGGGGGGGGGACGGATTACCAACCGCCCCGATCGCGATGCGGGTTACGTACCGTGGGTGTCCCTCCTCGTCCTCGGCTCTCATCTCCACCAGGCAAAACACCGTGTCAGTGTCCTCGTTGGCCGCACACACACGGCTGTGCCAGTGCTTGAGGGACAGACCCGCGGGTCGGTGCTCCGACGATAACAACCTCGCGAGGCCGTCGATACCCTCAACAAGGCAGAGCACGGCAGGGCGGTATTGACCGTTGGTAAGGACAGGACCAAGCAGGACAGGGGGGCGAGGGACAGGGTAAGGGGCAACAAGGGGGGCTGCTGCAACAACAACAACAACAACAACAAGTCAAATATAAGCTTGCCGTGACGAACGTTGTTCCCTTCCCTCTCGCGCCCTTCCCGGATGTTAGCTGTTACAGCGTAGCGCCCATTTCCCCCCCCCCCCCCCGACCGGCTCGTACATGTGCAACGCCCTCAATGAACGCCAACCGTACGTACAACACTGCGAGAGGGGCCTTCCCACATGGCCAAGCATACCCGCTTCATCATTGCTGAAGGTGGTCCTTCCCGGACCACCTGCCGTACCCTGTCGTACCATCTCATGTGTGTGGACGAGCAGTCCGTGAATGTCCGCCCGTACGTCGCTGGCCGCCATCTGGGTCAGCCCCTCCATGACGCGACCCGTGGGTCCTTCCTGGCGACCCAGCATCCAGTAGCCCACGAACTCCGTGGCCGTCTCCAACAGCTGCTGGGCTCGGTGGACGTCCCTGGAGTGCGACATGGAAGGGTGAGGGAGGAGATAGGGCAAGGCGAAGCAGGCCGGGGTAGAGAGCTGCAAGGCTCAAGGAATTTCGTTGGGGGTTGATCGGGGGTCGGGGGTTAACGAGGTCCGCGGGGTGGCGCGACATGGAAAGGTGGAAAAAGGGAATAATGCGAGAGGGAAGGAAACAAAACAAAAACGAAGTAATAAATGTATAAATGAAATATTATGTTCCGATGAAAGGAAGAGGACGTTCCTGAAGCTGGTGGGAGGGGGTTATACAGGAGCAGCTGTCTGGAGCTGTCAGAGCCTTAGAAGGCCCCAGGTGGAGATGGAAGCTCTAGCTAGCAAGAAAGCTGGACAAGGGAAGAAACGAGGGAGAAAGAGAAAGCGGCGAGGGAAAAACGCAGTGGGAAGCAAGCATTCATGATACGTTGCCTCAACATTTCTAATCCGTTTTGATGGGATACATCCGTTGCTTGAGAGCCGAACTTGCGTAATAGCGGATTACAGGAATGTTAAAATGCACAAACAATTTGAAAGTAATTAGGGGCTGGACAAAACGAAGTGCGAGAAACGCAGCAACGCAGCGCGGCGACGAAACCGGCAGGGCCGCGATTAAGTTTTCGGTTTTGGTGTGAGAGATTGTAGGAGCTTGGTGCAAAGTTTCTTTCTTCCTCACCGAAATGCGAGCACGCGCGTGCCGCCAGGGCTGCGGGTTGGGCGACCAGGCCTCAAGCCTGGCACCTGTGGCTGCAATTGTCGGTGCTGGTAACACCGATGGTGCTTGAGGCAGCGTGAGAGCGGGGCCGGGGCGGCCATCGCTGCTGTTGTCGTCGCGGTGAGGAAACGCGAGCGCGGTGCTGCTGCGCTTGTCAACATCCGCAACCTGGTCCCGCAATTGCTGTTGCTGGTCAAAGCGAAAGCATTACTGCTACGGCTTCGCGCCGCGGTTGCCATTTCCTTTCAAAACGGAAATTTAGTCGAGAGCTTTATGTCTTGTCGAAAACAGCAAAAGGCAGCTCCGGCTGCAAATGTGTCTACAGGGTGCACACGGATAACGATGCTAGTTTGTGTTTCAACGGGGCCACAGGGCCACCTACAGCCGTTGACTTCGAAACGAATCCGATTAGGCTATCCCGGGAAACAATAGGATTTAAGATTGCCAGAAGTCCGAAACTGTCCGGAAAACAGCACGAGATGCCCTACAGCACAACCCACGACGCCGGGAAATTTTTTTGTTTTAACTTTGTGCTGCAGTCGGTCGATGTTGGACCCTGGTTGTTCCGTACAAGACTTTGGACGCATGATTGACCGCCAGAGAACAAGGTCAAACGCACGAAACTCTTCTCCGAGACCAAAACGACGAATCCCGCCGAAGCCCTTTCCTGCGTCACCTCTTCGGCACGCACAACGAATCCGCTGCGTCTTCCAGCGCAGGAAACAGGAGCACGTCGCAGAGACAAGAAATGCTGTCCTGCAAAGCCCAGCACGCGAAATCCTTCTAACCTCCTCTTCCAAATTCTATCTTACCGTCCATCCAACGTCTAAGAGCTGACAAGTGACAACCAAACAGCGAGAGAGGCAAAGGATCTCCTTCCCATCGCCTCTTATTGGACAGCAGCTGCTGAGAAGACCCGATCGGACCAGCGATACAAGGCAACAAAAGCGACACTGTCCAAGGTGCGTCGTCATGAAGCAGTTGGAAGTTAGGTCAGCGAGCCGACTCAGCTAAATTTCAAATTTTTTGAATTTCAGGAAATGGCGAAGCGCGCCACCGGGGGCGACGTGGCCGTGATGGCCGCGGACATGGCCGCCGCGGCTGGCTCGGTCAATCCGGACGCTGCCGCAGCGGGAGGTCCGGGTGCCTCTCCGGCGGGTGCGCCCATGTCGCCGATTGAAGCCAAGCTGGCCGCCGTGACGCAGACCTTTTTGAATGACATGTGCAGCGGCCTGAATCGCGAGATGGCGCCCCATCTGCCGCCCGAGAAGGTGAAGGAGCTCGCCAGGTGCGTGGTTACGATCACGTGATGCGTGCCTGCGTGCCTGCGTGTATGTGTGTATGTATGTACGTGTGTGTATAGGTGCACGTGATGTGCGCGAAAGGATTAAACGAGATTGTGCGAGATTGTTATGGGGATGTGTATATATATGTATGTATGTATGTATGTATGTATGACTTATATTATATATGTATGTATGACTTAGATTATATATTATGTATATTTATGTATATATATTTGTGTGTATCTGTGTGTGCGCGAGGACTGTGTGTGTGTGTGTGTGTGGTGTCGGCAAACCGCTGTGTTGTTTGTGGGCATGGTCGGATCAATCGCGCTCCAGTGCATCTCCCTCAAACGCCGTCCCTGCCCCAGGCTGCGTGGCCCCAGGTCTTGCATAGAGACCCACGGGTCACATTTCCCCCTTATATGCTGCAACCGCACGAAGGACACTCTTGAACTCTATTTATTACCTCGATTGAACCGCATTTCAAATAAATAAATATGAATCCATGCTCCTAAAAGATCTCGCATATGTGTGAACGCTTCATCCTCTATTCTTTGCTTTGTGGGACCCAAGATCCCTGTTTACAACAAAACCCAAATCGTAGGAGTATTTACGAAGAAGCAAATCAACGTGTTGCTGAAGCAGAGGAAAATATTAAGCACAAATGTTTTTAAATTTGAAATTTATGACCAAGAGAAACTAAAAAGTATCGTTTTGACGAAGTAGTACATCTCTGTCCTTACTGTGGCTCATGCCCCTTCATGCCCCTTCCTTCCTTCCTTCCTTCTTCCAGCATGCACCTGGCGCCGGACGCTGTCGTACACGTGGACGGCCTGCTGCACTCCGTACCGCCCGTCACGGGGCCCCAGGCATTTTTCGATTTCATCACCTTGGAGCGAGCGGCTTATCGCGCAGTGAGCGAGTGGTTGTTTGCTCTATACGACATTTTTAAAATATTGAACGCGCAAAGGATGAACAGAAAGTCAGGATAGGATAGGATACCTCATGAAGGTCAATGTACGAAGTACACGTATACAGTACGTACGGTATGTGTTATTTGCATGTTTTGCTGGCAATTACGCCTTCCGCATCTATATCCCGCGGCACTTCCTTTTTTCCCCTCCGCCACACACACACACATACACACACACACAACCACACACAGTGTCATTCGCGTTCTTTTGCGCTTGCGGTTTCTTTTTCTCTTGCAGGGCGGCCTTTGCCGGCATCAAACAGGTGGCGTCTGATGTTACGTTATTATTGTTATTATTGTGATGTTACGTTCATGCACCACACACGTTGAGCACTTCGGGAGCACATCGTCCTGCCGTGCCTCTTGCCTCCTGGCCACGGTGCCCCTCTTCTTCCCCCCATCCTCCCCCGAAGTCATCATTCCCATCCAGCAGCGCGGCTATATGTGTATGATATTTGTTAATATCAGAAATGAACTTCCATATCGGCGCCATCATTTTCAATTTGCGAGGAATTGCCAGTTCATCCACTATTACTTTAAATTTATGCCTGCTGAACCTTTGCTGGAATATCGCCAGCGCAAGCCGATTCCATGCGCATTTACGTAAGTGACAAATGGCGGCCCCGACCCAATTCAAGTTGCACTTACGTACCAAAGCCTACCGCTGCTGCTGCTACTCATACTGCTGTCCCTGTTCCTGCTGCTGCTGTCGCAGATGTCCCTGGACACACTGCTGGTGGCGGTGAGCCCCACGGGTGACACGGTGTTTGCGCTGTCCCGGTTCAAAATGAAGAATGTGGGGCCATGGCACGGCAAGGCAGCCACCAGAAGGTGAGTTGGGGGAAGCTGGTTTGGGACTAGCGAGGCCCGGTCGTACAGTGTCGTACCTCCTCCAAAAACAAAAATGTAATAACACCTCAGCTGTTAAACCCTTTTACCTGTTCCTTTAAAATATTTCACAGGATTTCGGAAGGTGTTCGCATTGACGAGCTGCGCTTTGACGACACGGGGGGTAAAATTATCGAGGCCTGGTGCAATCGACAGCTCTTCCAGGTGGGCCCATGTCGGATGTACGACAGGCACCCACATCGTGCGCAAAGTTAAAACCTGCTACTACTGCTGCTGCTGCTGCTGCTGCTTGGGTACAGTACACATACAATGCTGCCGATGATGCCGTAGTGGTCGCTTACCGCTACGGCCCTGCAGTGAAATGAAGTGTCTTGCTGCTGCTGCAGCCGAATCTGTACCTGCTGTAAACGGTATTACGCGCACCGCCAAACATTCTTATTAACCCGGTTTCCAACGCAGCTCGCCCTCAAAACAAAGGGAAGCGCAAAGCCGAAATCTAATGTATTCTTTAGTGTGCGTGCACACATGTATATGTCCATGCGCGTCTGTGCGCGTTTGCATCTATTACGTGGCGCTGTGTTTACACATTTGTCGTACGTGCAGGAGGAGCGGGACCTGCTGCTTAGGGAACCGGACCGCCATCACCCAGCCGTATTCGACCCGGCGCTGCTGGCGGCCGTTTCACCGCCCGAGGGCGGTCATGGGGGCCTCACTGCCCCGGACCAGCTGCTGAGGGTGGCGCAGATATGGGCAGAGGTAGGGGGGCGGGTGTACGGGGGTTGCTTTTGTTGGGGGAAGGTTTGCATTTGACAAAAATGAAAAGTTTTTGAGGTAACGCCGCTCGTTCGCATGGGTGGGATGTGGTCAATTGCGGTTTGAGAGCTCTTTTATCCTGTGATGGAAAACAGGTTTAAGATTTAATCCTTTATTTGCCAGACGTGGAACATGGCGTCTATTGCGGGCCCTCCCGATCCGGACATTCTGGATACACTGGCGGATCACGATTTCCACCTGATGGATGCGCTGGGCTTCACCGGCGACGACGCGCAGTCGCATCCGTTCACGGTAAGTGTGGTATAGGGCTGCTGCGGCGGCAGCCGCAGCAGTGGTACTGCAGACGGAAAGGATATGTGGGTCGTCTTTGGGAGTCAGTCGCGCGCTTCTTGAAATCTTGTGATGCTGTCAACCGCCGCCAGATCCTTTTCTCAGGTTCTCAGCGCACAAGATTTGCGTTTACCATGAATCAAAAAGCCGGAATGAAAAAGTTTCCATTTTAGCACGTAGCCGAAGGCTCCGTTTTGATGCAAGATCGAGCTTTTCCTTACGATCCGGCAACAACGCCGCGAAAGCGATAGATGCAGGCAGAGCAGAATGATGTTGTGTTGTATTCTAGCCACAAGGATTGGGCTATTCTAGCCCAATCCTTGTCATTAAGTTATGGGCTCGATGCAGCGCGCCATGCAGCTGTCGTTTACGTTTACGTTTACAAGCTTCAAGCTTGTACGGTCCAGACGAGCCAAAAGGCTCATGAACCGCCAAACTGGAAACAAGAACTTAAAAAGAAAAATGCCAATACCCATCAATAACAGATTGATTAATCTTCATAAACGTACTGCAACCTGCATCTTCTAATGTCGTCCAGGACGCGCGCTAACCCGCGTTGATCCTTGACGCCCATAATCTCGATCATGCGGTCCCCAGGAGTAACCCCCAGGTCCCAAAGCTTCAAACGGATATTCGCATACGCAGGACAATCTAGCAGCACATGACATTCATCCTCAACAGCTTGCCGGTTCCCACAGACCCGGCACCACCGGGCAGACCGTTCCCTACCGTGCGGTCGATTAACCGCCAAAGGCCAAACACACATCCTGAAACGCATCAGCGTGACGTGCTGTTTTGGCGAGATATAGCCGCTGCCATGCTTGGGCAAGCCCATCCAATGCTTATAGCGACACATCTTTACCCCTGGTTGCCTATTATCTGAAACAAACAAAGCTGGATCCACTGTCAACCGCTCACTTTCCCAGTCATCATCAAATTGGTTCCGAAGTTCACAGATCAACTGGCCTACATCTAGTGAACGTGTCGCCAGAGCATCAACTTTGACCTCAATGTCGCCTGAGTCGTCCACACCCGTCCGCACGTTATGACCCATCATCTCAAGGATCTTCAGGACTTTCGCTCCCCATCCATCATACGTCATGCCAGATGATAATGCCAACCGCAGTTCCTCCCGAAAGCAATGGTGGTACACAGAACCTTTTGCCTCAACCAATCTGTTCCAAAAACGAAAAATCAGGTTTGCCCAATGCACTTGCAAAGGGTATTGACCCAACTCTCTGAATAGTAGTCGATTTGTTGGTAAGCCAGCACCACTCAACTGCTTCAGGAAGTTCTTCTGCAGTTCCACCATCCTGTCCTGCAGTGCAATCTCAAAGTAACACGATCGTGGTTCCTGGCTGCTAGGGTAACCGCGCTCCAGAATGTCCAGAACCCTTAACGGGCCCCAAACCTGTACCCCGTACGACAGAATAGACAAAACCTGGGCATCAAACGCTTTCACCGCAACAGCGGGGACAAAAAGCCCTTGTCGCTTAAGCTTACTAACCAGCGAGAAGAGCGCCTTCTGGCCTGATGCAAGCAACTCATCTGTGCACGATTCGAAAGTTGTACCCGGTCCATAATGCAGGCCCAAATATCGTGCGCGCTCCTTCCAAGGTAAACTCTTGAGCGCGTGTCCCGTAGCCTCCTTCACACTCATGGTAACAAGCCCGTACGAACCCAAAACGTGCATAGCCTTGCGTGCCTCCAGGTCCCGATGAAAATACAATACCTCACACTTTCCCACATTTACTCTCATGCCAAAAGCTTCGCACCATTCCTTTAGCGCACGCAACAATGTCATTAATCGCCTGTGCGACCCAGCAAAGAGACTAAGGTCGTCAGCATACAACAGCAAAGGGATACGCATTCTGTCGCTCATGGGGCAGCTGTCGTAGCAAACTCACGACCGTGATACGGTTATTCCGGTACATCTGACTAAGATTAGTGTGAAATGGGTTTTTCAAGCATTCAGGCCATGACGTCTTTGTTTTTGATCAGTCTCCTCGAATTATCTCTCTCGCCTAGGATAATCCATGACTTGCAAGGCAATACGCTGGGTTCTTTTTATTGGATTCAAATTATTGGTACTCTTTACCTGCCAGGCGCAATCCAATAAACCAACAGGTTTTTCTTCTGTGGACATTTTAAAGCTGGTGCGTAGCTCCTATTTTTACAGTTCGCTGTAAGCCGATTTTTACGCAAAGTATCGTTAACGCAGACTCAACGCGCATGCTCTGTATACATTTTCAATTTTGAAGTTGAATTTCCCAGCCTTGGCCGGCTGCTCGCACCCAACGCATCAGCGCACAATTGCGCCCTTACCGGCCTAGCAAGCGCCGGCGGTCCACTCTTCAAGCGCAGCACCATCCGAAACGACGACAGGGCATCCCAGCATGCCACGCGTGGGCTACTCCCCGCAAGGTTTGCCCAGCATTCTGGGCCATGGTGGCTGCGACAAGCGCTTGCAGCGTCGCTCAATGTGGTCCACGACATCCAGAAGGCAGACATAGTTTATGTCGATGACTTCTGTTATGCGGCCTGGAGCGAGGCAAAGTTACACGACCGGGGCGCTTGGGGCCCTAGCGAGGAGATGTACGTCGACCCAGACATCTACCTGGCTGCCGCATTCCACTTACTACTAAAGCACCGCAGCTTCCGGGGAACCGGCGGCGCACAATTTGTTTTCTTTCACTCCCACCCAGCGCTCTTTTTGTACCACGCCGTGCTGTGCAATCCTGCCTTCGCCGCCGCACTACATCTTGTCCCAGAGGCTCTTGTACGGCAGAACTGCGGCCCTTCCCGGATGCTCGTTGTGCCGTACGCCAGTTTCCCATTTTACCACAATCCCACTGCGGCCGATGTTGTTGCCGATGCCGTGGTGGCAACGGCAGCGGGGGCATCCAGGGTGCCGTCGTCGTCGGACCCTGTACGACCGCGCCTACTCCATTTCCGTGGCACCTGCGGTGGCAATTCCGACGGCAAGGCACTCCGCCGAGCGGTGGTGGAGGCGCTGCACGACGTCAGCGCCCCCGCTGACGCCACTGCCACTGAAACAGCCAACGCTAGCATCCTGGCATCCTGTGAGAGCTTCACCTGGGAGGATTTGTCCCTTGTGGAACTGTCGAAATCTCGCTACTGTCTAATCCTGGCGGGTGATACCGCGTCGTCAAGACGGCTTTCAGAAGCGGTGCTGATGGGCTGTGTGCCGGTGTTCCTTGGCCCGCCCTTCGCCGCGACGCCGCTATCCGGTGTCGTACGGTACGACGCCTTTGCGTTGGTATTTGAGGTGCCGACGGCCTCCGCCACCTGGTTGCGACGGCATCGCCGACAGCTGCAGCAGCAGCACCACCACCACCACCGCCAACCGCTTTTCGTTGATGCCGTTAGTGGACATCCGTTTGATGATGATGGCGGCGGCGGCGGCGGTGGCGGCGGTGGCGGTGGCGGACGCGGCATTGGTATCCAACGATTCGCAACGCGCCTGACGGCCCTGCAGGACCTCCCGGCGGCGCTGCACGCCATCGGGCGACGACGCTACGCCGCCATGTCGTATAATTTGGCTGCCGTACGACCGTTTTTCTCGTTTGTCGCTGACCCAGATGGGGGACCGCTCGCCGGTCTGAACGACGTTTTGTATTCCCGAATGTGCTTCCATGCTGCCGGGGGGCCAGAAGCGACTGCCCGTCGTGCCCATCTACCGGGCAAGGTTTAGGGCAGAAACGAGACCCCAGAAGAGCGTCTAGGGGCCCAGTAAAACTTACGGTATGGTCTCTTAACGCCGGAATCGCCAGAATCGCCGGAATCGCCAGAATCGCCGGAATCGCCAGAATTGCCAGGATTGCCAGGATTGCCAAGTGCAGCCAGCCAGCCAGTCGGGTCCATTTAGCATTTGGGCTTTCCGTAGTCCGAGGCAGTGACTTCCTCGTGTCCCTCGGTTTCCTGTCATAGCAAAAAATTTCAAATCCAAAACCAACATGTGATCAGAGCGGGTTGTCGTATGCTTGGAGGCTTATATTCTGTTGTCGAGTTGTGTGTCTTAGTTTGGCAACACCCCTTACCGACTTCTCTGCTCCTACCTTCGTCATCGTAAGCGTATTTTAACGTGCGTGATTTTGGGATGCGTAGGATGTATGTATGTATGTATGTATGTAAGTGCAGGGGTACAGAAGCTGCCTGTCCCAAGTCGCGAAACGAGCTTCATTTCCCAGGTGCTTTCTACTGATGTACGAGTATAATACATGCTGCCGTACATGCTGCCGACACAGGCTATCCGCAGCCTGGGCGACGCCAAGCGCGTTTTAATGACCATGTCGCAAAAGTACGACATCGACGAAGTCGTACAGAGCGCGGCTGTCAAGCCCGGCTATAACGCCGTGTTTGCGCACTGGCGCGCGCGACTCACACCCCGGAAGGATGCTGGCGGTGCGCGCGCCGTTGACGTGGCGGCCACATCGACGGCGGCGGCGGCGATGGGTCCGTTCACGGCGGAGGCGACGGATATTCTCATGTTCAATCCCGCGAGCGGGAAACTGAAGGCGGTGTTTCAGTTTCGTAAACCGCTGGGCTCTGATCGGCGGTACGTGCTCACGGACATCGCCCCGGCCGGCGTGCCCATCCCGCTCGGCGAGTTGACGCCGCCGCCAACCATGACTGAGGAAGTATCGTAGGTACTTTCCATTCCCTTAGTAAAACCCTAAGTAGTAACGTGCGTCGTGTCTCGGATATTGTCTAGGATATTGTAGAGCCTGATGAGAAAAGTCTGGAAGCGTTCTATTTGGACCACGGCCTTGGCCAGCTGGTCTTGAGGGAGACGAATAGGAGAGCCGGTTGGGAAAGTTGTACGTTGCTGTCACCCGCACTGCGGTGCAGTGCCGGTCGGAAGAAGGGAATCACGCAGGACGAGGTGCCCTCAGATTCTGTCTAGTTGTTTTTGACTTGTTGCAAAGCGGCGGGTAAGTAGAATAATTGTTTTTGCTGTTTAGCTGCTCGTTGCCGGAAAAATGCACTAGCCAACTGCTGCAAGCAAACATTGGAAGATTTGTGTAATGATGAAAGGACATGTAGACGCGGCGGGCAGACAAGTATATTTTTTGTAGTCCAGTTCAGCACCGAAATTCATCTGCCTAGATCTTTTAACCATTGCTATGAGGTCGTATCTCGCCCTGCCAAGTCAAGAGATCCGCGTGTATTTCTCGCCATTGCTGCCGTTACTCTCTATCCCCTCTTCGACCCAAAGCTAAAGACCCGTGCAGCTGCAGCTCCCAGCATCGCCACCGCCGCCGTCACCAATTTGTATTATTATTATTATTATTATTATTCGGCAGAGCAGCCATTTCAATGCACTTAGGGTTTTTTGGCATCGCACAGAGAGCACGACCACACACAGACACACACACAGACACATACAGATATGCGGAACGGAGCGACGGGAGAGCGCAAGAGAAAATTAAGATCTCCAGGCCTCAGCCTCTCAGCCTCAAAAGCCTCGCCCTCAGCCGACCACGTCCCCGACCGCCCTCAAAGTCTTTTTTACCTCCGCACGCGGCACCCCCTCATCCCCTTTTTCCCCCAGCCCCATGAGCGAGTTATTGTTTTATACATAACTCACAGCCCCACAGCACCACCTGCTTCATATAACTCTTCTCCCGGCCGGCCGGTTTCACTCACACCCGGCCTCCTTCTCCCTACCGCTCGGATCCCCTTAAGGCTCGGATCCCTCTTTCCGCCGCACAACTTGACGTCAACGCAACCACCGGCTCGTAGCAGCTTCAAGCCCTGTTTCTGCAGGGCCAAGGGACCAAAAGCCTGGACCATGTGACACCGTTCCGGGGAGACTCGGAAAGGAACGCGGCCACATAAAGGCCTTACGTAGATCATTTTAAAGTATAGCACATCCACACACACACACAGACACACTCACACACAGACACACACACACACATAGACGGCGGCACAGGAAGGCTCGGAGAGGAACTCGAAAAAGAAGACTAAAAAGAGGGAAAATGCGTTATCTTGACGGCAGAGAGTGAAATCACGCGACCAATCACAGAACGTCCGCCCTGTCGGACCCGACACGGCCTCGCGTAACGCCTAACCGAGTGGACAACAGCACTGACGAACACAAACAAAATACAGTTTGTCACCCAACAACCACCATAACAATTAACAACCGCCGCCGTTGTGGCTGTAAAACCCCGTGTCGCTCGGTATTCAATTCATATAGATGTACGGCCGCCTACCAAGCCGTGAGCAGTCCTTTCCACATCCCCGTCCCTACTTCTTCTCTTCTACTTCTGGCGCTGCTTCTGGCGCTGCTGCTGATTATGTCCGTACTGCAACTCGACACGCGCAGTACATCGGATCGCGTCTACGCTGACAGAAAAAAGGACATTCACACGCACACAGGTACACAGATACATACATACATACATGAACGCTAGGAAAGGGCCTCAAGTCAAAGCACACACGCGCCAATAGTAATCCTGCGCCTGCGGTAGAGGCGGAGGGACTGTTTGCTGTCTGACGTCTTGATGGGCCATCTTCCCGCGTCGTGTCGTACACCGACAACATTGCGTGCTGGCGGGTCTGCTTTGTGTGTATGCACCCTGGATGCGTTGGCTTTCACCCCCACCTCCCACCTCCCACTCACCCAACTCCGTTCCGTGCATCTGCGTATAATCAGTTTTGAATGTGTGTTGCGATCTACACGTCCAACGCGAACGCACGTGCGTGCGTGTGCCGTACAGATGTACGGACGTACTCGTAGGTGAGATCGAGCCTTGCTTGGCTGTGTTCGTGCGCACCAAACCAAACACCACCATCATCATCATCATCATCACCACCACACCTCCACCACCCCTACGTACCCCAACAGCATCCTCCTCCCCCTCCTACGTGGAGAGGACTTCTTCCAATACCGCCAACACCTGGCCGTGTGTTGCCGCCGCTCGCAAAAGCTAAAACGCACAAAAGCGGAGCATTCGCTGTGTACAGATGACCAAAGCCCGCGAACGCCCATTGTATACATGTATGAATGTATGTATGTATGAATGTATGTATGTATGTATATGTGTGGGTGCATGAGACGGCTGGTACAAGAGACAAGAGAAAAGCAAAACGACAAATCTGCAGAAATGTTTCGGTGCACGCTGGCTCTGAGTTAAGCCCCTATCCGCTTCGAACCGCGTCGCGTGTGTCTGTTCGTGTGTTAGTGTGTTAGTGTGTTAGTGTATACGCTTTAATAGTGAGACGAGCCGCGGATATTGCGCGCGCGTGTGCGTGCGTGTGTGTGTGTGTGTGCGCACATAGCGGAGATCTGATTGATAAAGCGGATTCCTTTCGAAGCATACAGAGGGGCAGGGAGGAGGAGATAAAGAGCTGTAATGGCGCGAAACCCACATACATACAGACAGACACACAGACAGAAAGACAGACAGACAGCCCTTTTGCGACTGGATCAAGTGATCATGGGTTTTCGGTTATAGGCTGTTGGGACTCAAAAGAGGCTGATCGGCCTAATGGGCGAGATCGCACCGCGCGTACCTGCAGGCTTTGTGTGACTGTGGAGCGGTTGAAGATGAATAGCATGTTTTTGATGAATGCCCCGCTTACAAGAGCATACGGGCTAAGTACAATGGTGACCTAGTCTTTAAGGGGCGCAGCATGCGCACCATTATGACTGAGGCGCCACCCCTGGCATTGGCCGGGTACCTCTCGGAAATCTGTGAGGCCAGGCACGTCTTTGCGCTGAGGCGCTTCGCCCTGAACCGAACGAGGATGATGGCCTCCCTCGCCAATACCCGCATCAATACCAATACAACGTCCGTGGCCCCCCCCCCGGCTTTTACGGACACACAACCGCACTTGTGTGTGTGTGCGGGTGTACTTGTAACTTGTACAGCACACACTTACGGACACACACACATACACATACACACACACATACACATACACATACACATACACATACACACGCGCGAGCGTCACGTGTTTTACGCGTGTCACATGGGCCGCTGTACGGCACCACCCCCGGGCCCCACAAGGCCCATTTTGGACTCCAGTGCCAGCCTGGCCGCCTGCCACCTCGCCAGCGCCATGCCCTCCCGGCTGGTGAGCACCAGAGGAGGCTCCGGAACCACCAGCACGTTGTTCCAATTACCCGCCGCGTCAAGAACCTGGATCCATGGCCGTACGAGTGGGACGACAAAGGTGGACGACAGACCCAAGGGGAGTATGGGGGAGTATGGGGGGGGGACCGGCCCCCGTGCATGTGCACGTGTGTGGGGAGTATGGGGGGGGGACCGGCCCCCGTGCATGTGCACGTGTGTGGACAGCATGGGCGTGTGTGTGTATGTGTGTGTGTGTTCGAATGAAGTGAGACTGGATATATGTATATATACATAGTAAATTGCGCGCACACACATATACACATACACACATACACACATACACGCACGTGCGTGTGTGAAGTCTGGGGAGCCAAACTCGACCGGCCCCCTACCCCCCCAAGCTCCCCCTTCCCCCCTCTATTGCCGTACCTTGTTAGAACAGCTATCAATCGCCCAAGTGCCGTCCACGATGTACTTGTAGTAGTACACGCCGGGCCGCAGCCCCCGGACGTCCAGAAAGAAGTGCCCCAGGTGGGTGTCGCCCTTGCAACCGAGCGGGCTCCTGCAACGGGGGGTGTAGTTGGTATTGGTATTAGTATTGGCATTGGTATTGGTATTGGCATTGGTATTGGCATTGGCATTGGCATTGGCATTGGTATTGGTATTGGTATTGGCATTGGCATTGGCATTGGCATTGGTATTGGTATTGGTATTGGTATTGGTATTGGTATTGGTATTGGCATTGGCATTGGCATTGGTATTGGTATTGGTATTGGTATTGGTATTGGTATTGGTATTGGTATTGGTATTGGTATTGGTATTGGTATTGGTATTGGTATTGGTATTGGCATTCGCATTGGTATTGGTATTGGTATTGGTATTGGTATTGGTATTGGCATTGGTATTGGCATTGGCATTGGCATTGGCATTGGTATTGGTATTGGTATTGGTATTGGTATTGGTATTGGTATTGGTATTGGTATTGGTATTGGTATTGGTATTGGTATTGGTATTGGTATTGGTATTGGTATTGGTATTGGTATTGGTATTGGTATTGGTATTGGTATTGGTATTGGTATTGGTATTGGTATTGGTATTGGTATTGGTATTGGTATTGGTATTGGCATTGGTATTGGCATTGTCGTCGTACATTGGGGAAATTGTCGTCGTACATTGGGAAACAGTAATGATGACGGAGGGTAGAACAAAAGGAGGAGAACGGTGCACACGGCAATTATCAACTACCAACTACCAACTAATGATGGAAAGGTTTCACTACTCCACTACCGACAATGATCATCTTGCCAGCTCCGGGGTCCAAGCTGCCCCTCTAAAAGCCTCGTAATAACCCTCCCTTCCCAACCCCCCCAAAACACACACACACACAACCCCGCCCCCCCCCCCCACACACACGCTCCCCTCCGCCTTAACCCCTCAACA